TTGAAGAAATTCTCTCACCTGGATAATCTGAGCCTTCATTATTCTAAGACTGTATATCCTTATATCTCTATTTGTCCTAATGTACGTCAACTTGTTATCTATGCCTGGCAATGTCCTGCTTGAGTTAAGTGGAAACTATAATTAACATATTAATTTGTTGTCTTGTATCCTGTACTAAATATATGACCAAACTGTACACAGATGACAGTATGTGTTACATACAAAAGGTATGTAAAAGTTTACCAATGCAAGCAATAAGATGAAGCTATGTTCATTAATGGTGTCTTAGAATGAGGTCTAAAAGAAATAATCTTTTAAAAAAATCTACATCACTAATATTTCACTATTTTGGCTACTCAGACAACTTGGTACTTGTTGCTTCTACATTATGCTAACTCCAGGGGAAGATTTTAAATTTTTTTCAGGCCAAATCTTGGTTTTCAAGACTCTAATCTCTAGCAGAAACAAATTGTCTGACTGATGGATAAAACTGATTTTTACATAAGCCAAGGTGTAGTAATAAAAATGAAAAAGAAAATCCATAGCCAAAAGTTCTGATCACAGGATTATCTTTCAGAGTTTTTCAGAACCAAGGATAAAAATACTTAGAGATGAGGTTCCTGAGAAGAAAAGCTATGTTGAAAGTAGTACAGTTTTATTAAAAACAAAAGCAAACCAGACTGTATATGTATTTTTAAAAGTTGTATAAAGGTAAAATATTTCTTCTAAAATGTTACTTTCTTTCACTAAGCACTGCAAAGAAGCTTAATTAATTCTTCAAATTCTAACTGCCCTACAGGCAAGTCTTAAATGATATTTACTTGGGTGTATAAATTGGAATGACATTTTTGGGAGGACTACTTGAAAATATTTAGCAGAAACCTAACACGCATATTCACTGATGAAGTAATTCCAGTTTTAAAAATTTATTTTCAGAAAATGGGCAATGACATACATAGGAAGATTTTTCTTTTTTTTGGTACTGGGGATTGAACTTGGGTCCTTGCACTTGCAAGGCAGGCGGCGCAACCACTGAGCTAAATCCCCAGCCCAGGAAAATTTTTCTTATAGCACTGTTTATAATACTAAAAGTTAGAAAAAGCCTAAATGTACAAAATTATAGTAAAGTATATTGTAGTTTATCATATAATGAAACATCACATAATACAAAATGTTAAATTATATCATAAAATTATGTATGACAAAGAGAAGTAGTCACTGTATATTGTGGAGGACAAAAAGCAAGTTATACAATTTTACTATATGATCTTATTTCTACTTAAAGTATGTATGTACATAGACACGTTTGAAAGGGTATAAATTCTTATGTATAAATTAATATAAACATATACTGTTATATATTAAATATAAAATTTTAATTAATATCCACACATTAATAGTATTTTTGAGTTTGAAATCCCAAGTGATTTTTATTTACCTCTTTTGAAGGAATTTATAGTCTGATGTTTCTATAAAGAATATCTTTTACTTATATAATAGTCATTAAAATATTTTCTGAAGGAAACTATGCAATTATTAGGGCTTTTCAAATTTTTATAATATATACTTAATGTGTGTACTGTGGAGGAAAGTGGTGGTGGGGACAGACAAAGGAAGAGAGAATGTGGCAGATGAGCCATTTTATTATTATTTTATCATGTATATTTATTGCAAAGTTTTAAAATAATCTTATGTTTAACAACCTGAAAAGAAACTTTCAATAGAACATATTATTGAGCAGTTAGCATTCACAAGATTTTAGTCTATTCTAACAGGTTTTAGATTTAGTGTAAGGAACAGGTGGCTTTCTATTTCCGAAGTCTCTTCACTGCCTTATTAGCTACAGCTATCTAAAAACTTTTTTGGGAGCTAATCAAGGTTTATCAAACCAAGCACAAAGTGGCATATGGACTTCATCCACATGGTCAGATGAATCCTTTGCCTGCTGCCTCCTTCCATGTGTCACATCTGTTTTCTAAAGCCATGCTTGAGGAAGGGTTCTATATCTGTAAAGTATGTGATGCTGTGGGACTAGAGAATATATGGCAAAGAAACTATTCTAGCTGCTAAACTAGAATCTGGTACCGTTACTGCCACCAAATAGTGGCAGTACATAGCTGAACAAAGGAAGAATCAATAATTCTGAGTGAAAAATTTCTATCAGACATTTCAGCTTAGATCTACAAATAACACTTCTTTAATGTGCCTTGTTAGACAGTGAAATCTGGGAATAATTATCAAACAGCATACACACTGTTTACAATAGAATCATATTTCTTTTCTTTCTTTCCTCTCTCCTACTTTTTTTGTTGTTGTTGCATAAAAAGTAGAATGCTGCTGAATGGTACCCAAATGTCTGTTGTATGCCATGCCAATACAGCAGCTCAGCCAAAAATGCAAATAGAATAGTTTGCCAAGTAAAAGAAAACATAACAAATTGGTAATGGTTTCTATCTTGACAGAAAATGAAAATGATCCCTCAGTGTGTGGCCACTCATGTGGACACATAAAAATGTCTTAGAAGTAATCATTTTACCTCAGATAACAGACTCAGTATGGTATAACATACTGGCTGACTTTTACTTAGAAAAGTGGCAACCATGATCTACAAAATGGTCTAGGAACCATGTAATTTATGCATAACACACATACACATGCCATGCACTCAAAGCATTTGCTATAAATCATTTAAAGTATAATATTCCTTTCTTGGGCAGAATATACTTTATGAGAAAGGATCTAAAGGACCGCAAACTTGATAAAGCTGCACTAGTTTATGAACACACACATGATATTGTTGTTTCTAAGGTTACAAAAATTCAGTGGTCTATATTGCAGTAAAAAGGTACAACATAAGGGTCATATGAATTCTGTGTGATTTTGCATTATGCATAATGCCTTGAACACTAAAGATATTTTTATTAGATGTTAGACAAGACAAATGCCAAAAATATTCTGTAGGTGCCCAGTATACAGATTTGACTTTCTGTCTAGAAGATTGCAACTGAAAGCAGAAATAAACTCCCTGAAGAACTGTTAAAGATTCTTTTAACTTACTTCTTCCTTTTTTACCACTTATTTTTTTCTTCAGATGAAGAATTAGCCAACATTACTGACCAGGGATTTTTTTTCTCCTACATCTGGTGAAGTTTTCCTATTTGTTTAACTTTCTAATGAGGATGTTAGATGGAACGTTGATTGTATGGTTGAATCCCATCTAAAATAATAATGACATTTTTAAAAACATATGATTGATATCTGAAGATAATGAGGAATTCAAAAATGAGAGAATACTGAACCAAGGACTAGGAAGAACCTTGGGAAGTTAAATGGTCTTGCCAAGTTGAAAGTAAATTTGAATCCTGTGGGTTATGAGTTTCAAATGAAACTTCTGGGGTTTTAATTTGTTGGTGACTTTCCTGTTCAATAAAAAAGGGCTTAAATGGCTTATAAAAAGGTTAAAAAAACTTATTGGGCATCAAACTGCTCTTACAAAACACCATCTTGATGAGTTAAGTGTAAATGAATCAGAAACACATGGGTCATATTTCCTTAAAAAATGCATATGAATTCAAAAATAAGGGGAAGAGAACTTGGCAAAACATTTTTTGTGTGGTGGCTGAACCTAAAACATTTGAAAGATATTTTGAGACATTCAAGGAATCCAAAATAAAACTAAACCTGTCTAGTCATATAAAAAACAGAAAGTTCTTCTATGCAATGTGCATTTATCTCTATGGGTCAATCAACACTCACTGAGCCTTTGCCTTTGGCACAGAACTATGGGAGGAGCCAGCTTCTGCCTTCAAGCCACTTTGAATTTAAATATAAACAAAAACTTAAGTAATAGAAACCTGCTACAAGAGATTGAAGATTTTATAAAAATTGGCATCATAACCCAGATCATGTGGAAACTATAAATTAAATGAGAAGTGGACAAGTACTTTCAGGGTCCGACATTAGGCAGGTTTCACTCCATTCAAATCATTTTTTTCAGTCCTTTTGATTAAAGTTTCTTACAGTTGCAGAGTCTTACTTGTTTAAATGTTTTCTTAATAAGTGTTTTTATGTCTTTTTTTACTGTGCGTCTCAGCCCTCCTTCCTCCACTCTCTAGATTTGTTAGTGCTCAACAAATCTTGCTGACTGGTTTCCTGGAGGATGGGAGTGTTGAACAGTTTTGAAATAGGGGAGATGCTGCTTGGCAGGGAGCCCTGAGGCCATGATTCTGTGTTGGGGTAATGGTACATGTGATGGTTCAGAGGCTCCAGAGGGTGAGTCATGTGTGGGGGGTGATGCACTGGCTTGCTTGCTGAGATGTGCCTGAGCCAGGGTGCTGTGGGAGGTGGAGGCAGTTAGGTGTGGGGAGGCCTAATATACTGCACATAAAGTCAACTTGAGGACAGAGGGGTATGATAAGGGAAAAACGGGATTTTTATTCTCTCTCTCTTTTTTTTTGCCAGCATAGGTTAAAGTTCTAAGCACAGGACACGCACACATCATTAATTTATTTCTTATTGGTATCTTTAGAAGCTGAAAAATATCCAAAAATAAAAATAAAATTAACTATGTATGTGTTGCTAAGATCTTGTAGATCATAAACTTGAAAGAGGAAGTTAGGATTATGAAAGGCATTACTAAGTTTGTAGGAAAGTGTTAAAGATATTGATCTTTTGTCTTTTAGGATTGTTTCCTAGCTGTTTAACCTGACTCATATCTTTTCCATAATTTCAGAAGTTACTTAGGACAGGGATAGTGTCAGGTACTTCTTGCACACTTTCTACTGGCTAGCACAACACTGGGAACACATCATCAATGTTTCTTTGGTACTTGGTATGTTTATTTCACTTTATACGAACTGCAATGAAGCAAAAGAATGCTGAGGCTCTATACCAATGGCAGTAAAGACTAAAAAAATAAAAGGATAACAGAGTAGAAATGTCCCTATCATATCTCTAATCTGAGCCTGTTTATGGTTAATACAAAGAAATCAAAGTCTTACCATCCTTCATCATCTTCAACTTCTGTTTCAGCAATGTCATTTTCAGGAGTTTCAGCAATTGCTTGTGTGAGTTTAGATTTAAACTGGTTCAGCAGTGCTAGAGTCTGAAATAACAATTAGACTGGTAAGTTTTTTATAATGTAAAATGTAAATTCTAAAATAAAAATATAAATGTAAATTCTAAAATAGATACTTGAATTTGGTAGAAAAGAAAATATACTACTTGGATATAAAATACTTAGATAAATGTTTGAGTTTGAAGGAAAATAACAAAACTGCCTTCAGGCTACAATAGTGATATTAATAAACTTTGACACTGTCCTGTTTGGGTTTGCACTGAAATTTTCCCTCAGAGGTAGTTCACCATTTTCCATTTTTCTGATTTTGGGACTTTAAATCTGCTTATATAGAAGACATTGCAACTTTAAGAAATATTTGCTCTTAATTTTTTTTCATGGTACTGGGGATTGAACCCTGGTCTTTGCACCCAGCTACATTTCCAACCCTTTTCAAATTTTTGATTTTGAGACAGGGTCTTGCGAGGTAAACATGTTGTCTAGGCTGGGCTTGAATTTGTGATCCTCCTGCCTCAGCCTTTCAAAGTGCTGGGATTACAAGTGTGAGCCAACATTCCCTGCTTAGTTAAGTTTTTAATGTCTACTAAACATAATTCACTAAGACATATGGAATAGAAAATGAAACACCACCTACAAATATTATTTTATATAAAAATAATAAATAAAAAACAAATTAACAAATTTCCAAAAAACATAAAAATATTAATATGCGGAAGGTGAAATGATGAACTCATTAATCGCTGGAAGGTAGGTAAGTTGAAATAATATCTTTTTTTTGGCAATTAGTCTTTATTTTTCATACAGGGTATTAACTGCAGGTAACCATCAGAGAGCACACTGCTATTTTCACATATACAGAACTGAACGAAAGCATTTCAGCATGCTGCCTTATGGTGTATAGGAAACTGGTGAACATATTCAGACATAGGAGATAAAATGGGCTAACGTCATTTGTTGATAAGTTATGAATCATTCAGCAGTGTTATCAAAGGTTGCCTTTACCTGAAACACAATTATCACTCTGATAACCCCTGGGCAATCCTAAAATGCAACTTTCCTGATGGGTATAAAAAGCAAGGTGCAGAAGCCATGTCCTGTTCTGAAGGGAGATGGATTTGGAACTTGGTTCTACACATTGATACAACCATCTTTGTAGCTTAATATTGGGTTTTCTTTACTACATATGTTGGCAATCAGCATAACTGAGAATTTCTGAAATAAATAAATAAGTCTAGGGTTATAAAACAACACTGTCCATATAGTAGAAGTACAGCTTCACAACTTCTGCCCAGTTCTCATCTGTCTTGTGCAAAAACCCTTCATCTGATGAGTTTTAGTGAAAGCCTGTAACACCTGCAACAGACTATTCTCAACCCAGCTCTAGATGCTAAATATCAGAAAGAAGTTCCTGTGAAAGGATGCGATCACAGGAAAATGGCAGTGCTTCTACTGGAGGTGTTAAGTTTTCACTTGATGTTGTCAAAGGAGTCTGCTCCCATGTAATCAGCCTGGCCCTGTTCCCACTGCTCCTTCCTGTCCTCTGATGATACAGAAGGCTGTGGTGCAGCTGGGTTCTCCCCAAGGGACAGGTGTGATATGGCTCCTGAGGCATGTTCCACATCTCTGTATGACCAGGTGTCTTTGACAAGTCCATAATGTTGAAGCAGAGGTAAGACACTGGTAGTGAAGATGTCCCACCACAGATTAAGAAACTCTGGATGATTGCTTCTCGGCCTTTTGGCTAAGATCAAGTGAAGAAACTCTGGATGAGTCTTGGTGGGATGACAGGACTCACTTTTAACACTTTTTGTTTGGGGATCATAAGTATAACTCCATGGTTTGACTCCTCCTAGGAAATGTACAACTTTGGCATTTGCACCAAACATTTTAAATGCTGGGAGATAGGAGTATATAGAAATGCTACTTAGGTTATAAATAAATGACAGGTGTTTTCTGATATCTGTTGTTGCCCAGCTGCTAAAAAATGTGTTCACTAAGCCCTGGTCCCCACCATGAAAGCTACCTTGCTCAGAAGCAAGGTGTAACAGCCGGGTATACATTTCAACTGAGGGCTGATAGACAAAGACTTTGGAGTTGAAGCAGTCAGGCCACCCTGGGTCTGGTGCTGCTGATAATTATTCTCTCTAAAAAAGATCATCAATACTTGCTAGGACCAGAGTATCTGCATTCATAAACACACACTTTGAATATTGTGTAAGTGACCAGTAGTGAAGTTTTGTCAGCGTGACACCAACTTCAGGCCTTTAAGGTGAGAAGAGCAGAATTGCCACTATCCAAGACATCTACCATGATGACTTCATCAAAGACTTTCTCTAAAACTTTTCTCATAGGGTCTGAGACCTGTGGGGTGGCAAGCACAACCAGCCTCCTGGTGGTCCTGTGCTGTTTAAGAGAGGAGCCTAGGACCAGGCCACCTTTGGCATAGGCATCGTTTGTGGTCAGTGTCACAAAGGCCTATCTGCCATGGTGCCGTCTGGGCGCGGGCGGCTGTCTCAGACGCAGCTCTGTACCTCGAGACCCCCAGACCTCAGAGGCCGGGAGAGCAGCGAGGCCTGCGGGAGGCGCGGCGGGAGCCGAGCAGCGGCCTGAGCACACTTATAGAGGCTGTCACGTGGGCGCGCACGCTCGTGCTCGCATCCTCCCTGTCAGCTGCGGGAGACGAGCCCCGCCTCTGCAGTCCAGCCCCGGACCCCTCCCGCCCCCGCCCCTGCTGGGCACCTGCCTTCCTGAAATATCTTTAGAAGGCTGTTGACATGTATTAGAAACTTTAAGATGATCATTCCTTCTGATTCAGTAAATTCAATCCTGGGGATATATTCTAGGAAAAACAATTTAAAATGCACAAAATGGTTTACATAGCAATATTCATATAAATGGAGACATGTTTAAAGGTCTGTCAGTAAAGAACTACTTAAATTTGGTAAAAAGCAATTTTGGTAAAAAGTATGCTTTTATGCTATTATTTAATATTATATACACATAAAAATATTGTATGCTGGGTATGGTGGCACATGCTTGCAATCCTAGCATTCTGGGAAGCCTAGGCTGAAGATCCTATATTTAAGCTCATCTTGGGCAACTTAGTGATTTAGTGAGAATCTGTCTCAAAAATAAAAGATTTGGAGATGTGTAACTCACTGTGAAATCCCTGGGTTCAATCCCTACTACCACACACACACACACACACACACACACACACACACACACACAGGGGCACATTCTACTGTTACGTGAGAAGGATACAAATATTATGTTGATATGTTTAAAAGATAAACTACCTGTCTAAAATAACAATGGCATAATCATAATTTTTGTCTGTTGAATTCAATATTAATATTCTCATACTTAATATGGGGGACATGTATTAATAGTAGTTCAACATGTAAACAGCAAGTATAATTTATGTATATTTTGGCGGTACTGGGGATCGAACTCAGGACCTTGCACTTGCCAGGCAGGCGCAGCACCACTGAGCTACGTCCCAGCCCACAATAGCAAGTATAATAAAGCATAACAATAAATTCTTAGGATCCAGAATTTATTTACAGAATATCATTAAGATTACAGTTCATGAATGAATTAAATAGGTTTTGGCAGACTAGAACCTGAGCTTAATGAACAAGAGATATCAAAATATCTGTATGAAATGAAGGCAATTATTGCTACAAAATGATTGTGAAAAGTGCTTCAGGTATTTCTGTAAAATTTAATGCTCACATAAAAAACAGCTGAAAATATCCACATTACTATAGGTACTGGATGAGATGAATTTGGGTAAAATTTATAAATGCCAACATTTTGAGGGGTACTAAGAATGTTATGAGTTGGGCATTTTATGTTTCTATTGTAGACACCATAGAACTAAACTCTTGAAATAATAATTCCTTATTTTTAAACGTCATTTATTAAAATATTCTATCATTCACTTTTATTTGCTTTATAATAAGGAAAAATGGGAAAATAGAAGTAAAACAAAAACAAGTGTTATTTCATCACTCAATACCACTGCTAACAATTTCAGTGTATATTCTTCAAGGCTTTGGGTGTATGTAAGTGTTCCTGTATCTATATTTACATTATATACATTTTTATTTCCATATATATTTCTATATCTAATCTTTATCTTAAAAACTCTGTCTTTAATGGTAAAATTTGCACACTTGGTAATGTCTTTTCTGAGGGCATAAAAAACAATGAAAACAAAGAACATTTCTTAGTAGAATGACATAAAATTTCCAAGAAAATTACACTAGGACTGGATCTTCCTCCTTGAATTAAAAGTGGCAAAGCAGTTTTCTCTTGGAGCCAATTAACATGCTACAGACATTCACTCACAAATAAAAAACATCCTCTTGGGGCCAGGGATTTAGCTCAGTGGTTCCACCGCCTACCTCGCAAGCGCAAGGACCCAAGTTTGATCCCTGGTACCAAAAAACAAACAAAAATATCCTCTTGGCCTCTCTAGGTTTCAACATTCAAGACTGGACTTTGTCTGCATTCTAAAGCAAGAGAAGACACTGGGCAGAAAATAAGACACCACAAAAATACCAGGGCACATTATAGGGTGAAGAAGATAGCATTTACATGGAAGTATTTCTGCTTGGCATCTGCTGGTAATTACTCAGTCTTCTGGCTTTTGCTGAAGGAATGAATGGCTAACCACTTACCACATAACTCTTCAGAACAGTGAGAGACTTCACTCTGCGTGGAGAAGTTATTCTGAAGGCCCCTCACCTTAGCAGATTCTGTTCACATTCTATACTCAACAGTCTTTCCACTGGCCTCCGCTGGCCCTGCCCTGGGTCCAGTCTACTCTCCACACTACTGCCAGGTTGGAGGGATCTTCCCCATATGCAAATGAAATCATGTTATTTCCTTTTGTCAACAGATCCTCATTGCCCTTAGGTCAACTAAATTCTTAACATGGCTCAAACAATGTATGAACTGACACCTGCTTACTTCAGCCTCATGACTTTTCTTCTCTTAGTTATGTTAGTCATAGTTAACATTTTTTAGTTCTTTGTAAAGCAATGATAGGAGAAGCTTCTCGTACCATTTCTTTTGTCTAGCCACATCCTGCCTCTGTTTCACTTGGGTAGCTCTTGTTTAACCTTTTAAATTCAGCTGACCAATAATTTTCTCAGATCTTCCTATATTCTTGGCCATGTTTAGGTCTCACTGTTATACATTTACACAGTTTCCTGCACTTATCCTTTCACAATGTTCACTTCCTTTTACTGGTTTTACTAGCTTAATTGGCTCTTTTCCCCCATAGCTGAAATACAGCAGGGATGTGTCTGCCTGTTGACCACAAAATATAGTAATTAGTACATGACAAGTTCTTAAAATTATTTGCTTTGAGGGAAGAAAAAAAGAAATGTATGAATAAACATTATCTTTATCATCTTTAATAATATAGTTTCTACAGCTGCCATTCAGAAGACTATGTGACTCCATGAAAACAAGTCAATAATGCATTTTTTCTTAATTTCATTTGATGTTCCATTTCTTTTGAAAGTTGCAAATAAGTTAGTACTCTGTAATTAAAATTTCCTACACCAGATTTCTTGCTGAATTCTCCCTATCATTATTTTCATGCTAAGTACTGATGCATGATCCTTCCTTACCAGTAATTAGGTATCATTTATAATATAGTTTCTGATTAATTAATTTAACTAAATACGCTAAAGCTTTTTAATTTACTTTTATTTTGCCTGCTTTATTTCTTTGCTTAAAATGGCATATCTTTATTTCTATATCCATAGCAACACCAAAGATAAATGATTTTGGTTTGCCCCCTACGTTTTCAACATGAAAGGATGCTAAAGAGACTGGTTTTATCAAGTACTATGTGGCATATACAGCTGGTTCCTAAATTAATGAGCTAGTTTTCTCTTTTCATTTTTGATTTCTGACAATTTTCTCCTATTACTATTTAAGACTCAAGAATTACTTGCAAAAAACAGGGCTTTATTACAAAATCAACTAGTCGACCAAATGCCTTATTTCTAGGCAGTATACAAGTTCAAGCTGAGTTGGCTTAATTGGTATGCGGAGAGAGCCTCTGATCATTTGGAATTGCCACTTCTCCATTTCATAGTATTCACTTCTATTTGAATTTCTGAGGTCATGTCTTTTTACAAGTTCCTATGCTTGATATGGGAGTACTAGGTTCAAACTTGAAAGTTTCAGGCTTTTTCCCCTAATGTCTTCAAAGAATTTTAGAATTTGGACCCTTATACAAGTGGCTGAGGTCCTTAGTACTGTTCCCTACACAAATATATCTGAATATATCCTTATTCTTTTTAGGGAAATGGTGCCTACCCGTCATATAATCAAATTAGGTTCTGTTTTATAATCCTGGAAGACTGTAAAAAGGCAATGAATTACATACGGAGTTTGGTTTTTAGTTACCTGGTCTTCCCGGGAAGTTCCTTTCTTTGCCTGTTGCTTCCTCAAAACTTCATACTTTTGTTTTTCTCTTCTGTATTCAGCTACAGCACTATCTGGAGCAGCTTCTTCCTCTGAAAAATAGTAGAATACTCTTGGAGTAAGTAGTGTAGTCCTTAATGGTTTAATCCTGCAATACTTCTATATGATGATTATTTAACATCCTGGTTTTAAAACAGTTTTGCCTCAAAAAACCGAAGTACCTAACATTTTGAAATACTTTACAGGTATCTATGAATGAAAATTTGTGACTAAAAATAAGGCAACAAAAACAACCTATTTCTTCTTATCTTTGGCTGGCAAACCAAAACAAGTGAGACATGATCAAGAACACTGGTCATCTTTCTACTCAAGTCTCAGTTTGTTACTTAATTCATTATTACCTAGTTTGTGGAACATTATGAATGTGTAATAAATATATTAACAATCAATCAATCATTTTCTTCAAGAGATTTGCTAAACAAAAATATGTAATATAAGAAATTTTTTGTGGCTATTTAACATGATTTTGATGGAAACTGAAAGGAGTAATTAGTTTTAAAAATAACTTTATATGGATTCAAATACTGTGTGTCCAGCTCCATTTCCAATACTGACAGCTGTAAATGATAAAAATTGAGCACATTAATGAAAAAGAAGCCAATAAATACAGAAATAATACTTGAGGCACATATGCTTAGTAACCACTAGCAAAGAGATGATGTTATCGTACTGGGTGTATCTAAGATGATTCTTATAAGAGATTTTACAAAATCAACTTCATATTTTTCTTTTGAGTTATATCTCTGAATATCTCCTTTTTTAATCCTATAATGGATTTGCATTGTTCTAGTATAAAGACCAAGCAGCTTAACAACCTGAGCATCCTTGTCGGAGGCAGTTAATGCTTTCCCTTCTAATCTTGTCTCTCACCTCCTCTGCTGCATCCACCTTCAGTGCTTTCATTGGGTTTTAACTCATATAGTTTTTGTTTACTTGATGTCGCCCCCCACGCTCAGCCAACCACTCTTTCCACTTGCTGCTCATTCTCTCCGAAACATTAAAAACATTCTTCTCTCCATTTCTCAATTAATTTTTCTTGCTTAATTCCTGCTCATTCTTTAGGTCTCGGCTTGGTTGGCACTTTGTTCATAAACCCTTTCTGATTCCAGTCACTAAGTCAGGTGTGGATGCTCCCCCTTTGAGCTTCTGGAGCACCAGTGGGCACTTCTGTGTATGGCACTTTACGGTAATTTTCTATTTAGTCTTCTTTAACCCTGACTGGACATTAAATTCTTTAAAGAAGTCCTATTTCCCCAGCACTTAGGAGAGTGCTTGACTGACAAATGCTAGCAGTTTGATACAAGTAGATAATCAAGTAAATTAATGAATAATGGAATAGGAGAGAGGAAATAAGAAGGTAGCGGCAAATTTGGCCCCACAGCCTCACATGCTACTGGAGTATTTGCTACACTCTTGGAATCTCCTGCTCCACTGAATTTAGAGAGTCAATGGTACTTCTTTCCTGCCATTTCCACATGGGAGAATTTTGTAAAATCGTAAGGGAAATTCTGATGAGTATCCTTAGAACTGTCTAATGTTTAAAACAAACACAGGAGAGAAGGGACATATTCTTGGATTTACAGCCACAAATGACTGAAAACTTTTACTTGTAGTGAGAAGTTTAAAATAAATGGAAAGGCTGATATAGATGAATTCAGCTGCTTCATGTCACAAATAAGTCAAGTTTACAAGCTTCAAAACAGATTCAACCATGCTCATTTTAATATATACTGTGTAGCCCCTTATACGTGGTTTCCTTTACTATGGACCAATAACTTGATTTCACTTTTCAAGAATGTGTAAGAAACAGAAAATTAAAAAAACCCTGTGCCATGAAGAAGCCTTAAGAATCAATTTTTAAAAGTCAAGGATAAGTAAATAATAAAGCAAGAAAATTCCATAGGATGTTGTTTATAATATTCAAAAGACTTAGCAATTTAGAAAATAGTAGTCAACTCATCTTGGAAACTAGTAATGACAAAATTTTAAAAGTGGCTATGTTGAGGTATACTTTATATATAGTAAAATTCATTTGGGGTACACAGTTTATCTTTATTTATTTACTTTTTATTTTGGCTTTTTGAAACAGGGTATTGCTATGTAGCTCAGGCTGGCCTTGAATTCACTATGTAGTGCAGGCTGGCTTTGAACTCATGGTGATTTTCCCATCTCACCCTCCCAAGTTCAGGCATTACAGGTGTGTGCCACCATGCATAGCTTGGGGTATACAGTTTAATTACTCTGATATTGTATATAGTATATAACTTCTACTGCAATCAAGACAAAGCAGCTCCATAGCCCTAAAAAGTATCTGAATGTCCCTCATAGTCAGTTTTTCTCCTCAAGTACCACACAGCAGTATCTGGTTTCTGTCACCACAGTTTTGTTATTACTAGAAACTCACATGAATGGAACCATATTATATGTAGTCTTTTATGTCTGAGTTTTTTTCACTTAGAAAATATTTTTGCAGTTCATCTGTGTTGTTCAGTATTCCTTTACCTTACTGAGTAGTATCCCATAGTATGGATATACTCTTAATTTGTTTATTCTTTTACTAGTTGATAGACACTTTAGTTGCTTCCAGTTTTTGGCTTCTGTAAATAAGTATTTTGATGAATATTCAAAATAAGTCTTACTGTGGATATATATTTTCATTGCTCTTGGGTAAAATCTAGGAGTAGAATTACAGTGTCATTTGATAAATGTATGTTTAAATTTAGATGATACTGTCATACTGTTTTACAAAAAGGCTGCACCATTTGGGCTGTATGTTACTATCAGCAATGTAGGAAGGAGACTTCAAGTTGCTTCACATCTTCGACTATATCTGGTATGATATTTAACTCTGGCCTTTCTAGTGGGTGTGAAATGGATCTTATTATGGTTCTGACTCATTTTTCTGATGACAAGTAATATCAAACTTTTTATGGGCTTTATTGGCCCTTTGTATGTCTTTTGGACTGTGTTAAAATCCACAGTTTTTTTGTCTTATTAGTATATTTTAACATTTAAAAAATATATTGTAGGTATAAGCTGCTTGTTAGATATATGGTTTGTAAGTAGTTTCTCTCAGTCTATGGTTTATCTGTTCATTTCCTTAAATGTGCCTTTCAAAGAGCAAAAGTTACATTTTGAGGAACAGAATTTTATCATTTTTATATTACAAATCACACTTTCACATGTTATTTAAGAGAACTTTGCTTGCTGTAAAGTTGCAAAGTTTTTTCTATATTTTCCCTTAAAAGTTTAAAATCTTGTCTTCTTTGTTTAGGTATATGGTTTATTTTGAGTTAGTTTTTGTGTATAGTAGGATTGAGGTTATTGTTTTTTTCCTATATAGCTATAAAATGAGTCAGCATCATTTATTTAAAAGGCTTTCTCCCATTGAACTACCTAGGCACTTTTGTTGAAAATCAATTGACCACGTATGTGTGTCTATTTCTGGATACTGTCTTCTGTTCCATTAATCTGTGTCTGTCCTTTAGCTAAGAGTACATTATCTTGATTGAGACTTGAGATCAGTTAGTATAAAATCTCTAACTTTGTCTTTTTCAATATTATTTTGGTGGTTTTTGTTCTTATGTCCTTCGATATAAATTTTAAAACCAGCTTGTCAATTTCTTAAAAAAAAATGGTAGGATTTTGATAGTAGTTACTATCAATGTATAAATGAATGTATGAATTAGCTTGGAGAGAAATGTAATCTTTTCTTTTCTTTTCTATTTTTTGTATTACTGGGGATCAAACTCAGGACCTTGCACTTGCAGGCAGGCACAGTGCCACTGAGCTACATCCCCAGCCTGAGATATGCAATCTTAGCAATATTGAATCCAATAAAATTGTGCTGATTTAAGCTGTATGTAATTCAGTCCTCTTGGTTAAAATCATGATACAGAGTGGTGGTGCTGGATGTGAGGTAGGAATGGGGAGTAGTTATTTGTTATTATTTTTTAACTATCTCAGGACTCATACATCAGAGATAGGAATGTTTGGAAACAAGTACAGGTAATTTCAGAATGATTAGGTGATATTCATTCTAGAAAAGAAATAACATGACTTAGGAAAAATAATGAATAAGTAGTTTTTACAGAATGGAAAACAAACATAGCTGTACCTCTCTTCTGTAAAAATACCATGAGAAAAGAAAAAAGAATATGCAATGTAATTAATTCTCACATGAAGATTCACTGAACAACTCCCAACCAAAATGAGTTAAGTGGTCAAAAATTATTTGTTAATAAAAAACAACAAACACAATTTTTTATTATGGGAAATTTCCTACATAAATATACAGACAACAGTGTAATGAAGCCCTTTGCCCATTACGTACTGTCAACAGTGTTAACCCTTATCTTATTTAGCTTAGAAGGTATTCTTAAGCCATTAAAACTAGTACTCAATCAGGAACTGAGAGCTCCTAAGTTTCCTCTGATGGGAACAAAGGAAAGAACATGTGCTCTCAGATTCCATCACAGAAGGAGCCAGTGAACATGGTATGGTTAGATCACAGACACTGGAGTGAGAATGACCAGAATTTTGGCTCCACAGTTTATTTATTCTGTATGTACACAGATTCAAACTATATCCTCTTTTTGTACCTCAGTATTTTCAGCTATAAAATGAAAAATAATAATATTACCTAACTTGTTATACAGATTAAATGAAATACTGTCTGACACCCGGTGAATGCTTAACAAATTATTATTATCCCATTCAGATTAACAAATGTGATGGTATGAATACATTTTTGCATATACTGAACCTTTATATGTTAACATCATCTATGTTTTTTCCTGTTATGATTGACTTTGATAAGCTCTCAAGGAGCAGTGTAACTCTTGTTCAAGTTAGGCCTATCTTTATCTCTTTCTTCATACAGCTATAGTTCTATATTATGGAATTTTTACTTTGATAAAGGGAAAGGGGATTTTTTTCCCCAAACTATGAAGATATCTATATTCCATAAATGGTGATAAGATTCCTTAGTGGGGATGCCCATATTGTTAATATTTTTATTTCACCTCCCACA